GGGCTGCCTAATTTGCTCGTGTTCTGTATCTTCCCCAGCGTTTATTCTGCCTTTCCTTTCCTGTCCTGTCTTCGAAATCGGCCTCAGTCTTGGGATTAATTCCGGCCCTACAGTGGACGCTTGAGTCATAGTAGGGTTGCTACCGTTGCTACTGATAGTGGTTGAAGGGGAACCGACTGAAGGTGAGGCTAAACCGGGAAGATTTGACTCTATAGACCGGATTTCTGGAAGAGGACTCATTGACTCATTACTTCTTGTTTCAGTCTTTGAGTTACTAAGCCGTTGCCTACTTGGGGTAGTAGATACCGTAAAGTCAATTGAGGATTGACTGTTGGAACCTCCATGCATGATGGTCGTCACCTCCTCCTTCTCCGTACCTCGGACACTGTCAAGTCGCATTGACTCCAGTGCTGCTGATGTAGTAGAAAGGAGATCTAGAGTGGGATTCGTACAGAGACCACTTGGACTTGAACAAAAGTAGTGGTCAACGCTTGACTTTGGAAGATTTGCAAGCCAGTCGATGGAACGATCCAATTCTTCTAGGTAACTAGACAATCGGAGTATCTAAAAAATAGTTTGCATAAGCAGACAAATGAAACTGCTCATATTGTATTCTTGTTATGATATGCTTGGCATTGTTATCAACTCTTTGGTAGGTAAACATATATTGCCAGATTTTAACTTGCGTTATACTTAAATCGTATACATTACAATCCTAGTTTAAAGACTATCATTAGCCTTATGAGATTAACACTGTAGATATGATGAGAAACTGGATTTCGATGAATCTCTTGAGACAACATTATTAGGGAAACTTACATTTTGAATGAAATTGAATAAAGAGGTGATTCCTTAATCAATCCAACCAGATAAGGACAGATAATTCCGTTTGGCTTTTAGACGATATTCATGTTGACGCAGTCCACAAGACTTCCTCCCTCGTTTCGGCTGAAAACGTTCTGAGCTTTCGTCCATCATATGATGGACATCATCAGAGCTGGGCTTCATTCTTGTAAAAGTCTAGGCCAAGAATACTATCCAGCTCTATTTTACTTCTTATATAGACTCAATTGAGCTAAAAGAAAATTAAAAACCTATATATAT